GGGTTCCTAACAGCCTATATTCAGCTTCAGCCCACTATCACAAACAGCACTCAAGGCTAGATGCTGCTGGTGGTGGAGGGAGGGAGGGAGCATGTCTTAATTCCAGCACTAGGGAGGCAGAGGCAGGCAGATCTCTGTGAACTCCAGGCTAGTCAGCCAGCCAGCCAGCCAGCCAGCCAGCCAGCCAGCCAGCCAGCCAGCCATTGAGTGAATAGCTATAGGGAGTCGTGGACAGGGTTACTCCTGAGAGGAAGGACTGATTCCTCCACCCTCCTTCCCAGAGAACGTTCAAAGAAGATGTCACCTTCCCCACACCAGCTGGAGACCTTGTTCTGGCTGGGTAGATTCTCACACCAACCAAAGTCACCTATATCCTATATCCTATCTCCAAGCCATTGTCTCCGTTGTTGTTCTACAGAATGGCTTCTCCCCCAACCCTTTCCAAACGGGTTCAAACCTTTCCATACTTGATGTTCATTGCCCACTTTTCTACCTAGATTTCTCCCTTGAAAACAAGCCGATATCCCACATCACAGCTTAACACATACCATGGCTTGACCCCAGAAATCAGACTGCAGGCTCTGTCTGGGAAGGGGAAATTGGAGACTTTCTAGATTAGACAGACAAGCATTATGGCTAATCTTCATCGTCAGCTTCACTGGCTTCGGAATTGCCAAGGAGACATCTCTGGGAGTGTGGCCACATGCTCCCACTGCCACAGCATAGAGACGCTCTTCCTGCCATACTTTCCCCACCATGGTGGTCTGCACTGTCAAAATGTGAGCTGAAATAAAAAGCTTCTCCTGAGTATTTAGTCAAAGCATGAAAAGCAACAAACACAGAAGGTCAAGTTGAGCTGCCAAAGTCACCCTGGAGGAAGAGAATGGTGAACTGGTGTGACTGGGGAACCACTAGAGCCACAGGTGGTTTTATACCATGGCACTAATGCCCCTTTGGGATTCCCTGAGTCTGGGCCTGGGCCTGCTTTCTCAATTGCACAAGAACACACTTAAATACTTAAGAATTTAGGTCAGAACCAAGCATCCATTCTTTGACCACGGGCTTATTTCTGTTCCAGCATAAAATTCTCTACTGTTTTGTGTCCAAGTCTTAACCTGTCCCTACTAAA